AAGGCGTTTCCTGGCAACCAGGATGCTAGACAGCAGTGCAGTCTCAGAGTTCTTCCTGTGCTGTCTCCTGCCTCAAAAGGAGACTTGACTTCGTATGGTGAACACACAACACAACATACAGATAGTGTATTATAGAATTGTACACTTGGAACTTATAGAATGTATTAACCAATGTCACCCCCATAAGTTCAATAAAAAAATACATAGATAGCAATAAAACAGGCTCACAAAAATTTACCCACAAGGGCCGTGGCTGGTGTAGCTCACTGGATTGAGCTTGGGCCTGCGAACCAGACAATCGCGGTTCGATTCCCAGTCAGGGCACATGCTTGGGTTGCAGGCTGGTTCCCTGCAGGCCAGTTCCCAGCAGGGGAAGCGCGAAGGGCAACCATACATTGATGTTTCTCTCCCTCTCTCCTTCCCTTCCCCTCTAAAGACAAATAAATAAATTAAAAAAATAAAAAATAAATTTACCCACAAGGATTTTCATGACAGCAATAGTTATAAAACTAAAAAATACAAAAATAACTAAAAATTATGATTTATTTATATCATGGTATATAAGTAATATCATTAAAATAATATTTTTGAACATAATGTTCTCGATTTGTTACAGAACATAATGAAGGAATATAAAATCATATACACTACATCTCCCAATGCTAAAAAAAGGGAAGAAAAGGTCACTGTTTCTTCTGAGGCCTCCCTCATTGGCTTGCAGATGGCTGTCCTCTATCTTCACATGGGCTTCCTTCTGTCCACTTGTGCCCTAATCTCCTCTTCTCTGAAGGACACTGCCCAGTTGGATGAGAGCCCACCCATAGGACCTCATTTTACCTTAATTATCTCTTTAAAGGCCCTATCTCTGAAAATATAGCCACATTCTGAGGTACTGGGGTAGGAACTTGAACATGTGAATTTTGAGGGGGCGTAATTCTGCCTATAAACAGATGAGATCACTTGGGTAGGTCTCACTCAATCCAGTATGATCATATAAAAAGGGGAAATTTGGACACGGAGACAAGCCTGGTTACCTTAGTACCTTGAGTGCCCTAATGACTTTGGAGTGAGTGGTGGCATTGGTTCTTACACAGGTCATTCAGCCAACCAGACCAAGTAGAGCCAACAGGTGCTTTAAACTTTCAGGACACCACCTTGGCATTTTGTGGCCAGTTAATTAGGAGCTGATGAGAAGCTACCCAAGGACACATTCTGGAAGAAATTGGTGGCCATAGTGGAGCAGGACACAGGGCCCAGCTTGGTAGGGGGCTTCTGTTTCACACTCAGTCTCCAGTAGTAAAACCAGGGACAGGCACCTTAAACTCCAGCAAGAAAAGTGTCTCTCTTATACGAGCCGGGCAGTCCCCAAGGAGGAAACATTTCTTTTTCTTGTGAGGAGGGGTTGGTGATATGGTAGCATTGCTTTATATACCTGTTCAACATATAATGGCTCTGACTCCTAAAGCTCCACTCTAGTCCTCAAAGAAATACTTCCCATAGGTATAGTAAGGTGGCAATTAAGAATTAACCACAGCCACGTGCCCGTTAACAATGTTTCTGCCAACAATGGACTGCATTTACAGGGGTTGTCCCATAGATCATAATGGAGTTGAAAAATTCTTATTGCCTACTGACATCTCAGCTATCAATAAAATTCTAGTGCAACACATTACCCACACGCTTGTGATGATGCTGGTATAAATGTGATATTTGAAAAATGATAATAATCAACTATGTTACTGGTTCATGTACTGACTATACTTTTTGTTCTTCTTTTAGTGTATAGTCTTTCTAGTTATATAAAATAAGTGTCTCATAAAACAGTGTAATGATGGCAGCAGCCTCCTTCATCTCATGTTTACCATGTCTCTTGATTGCACCATTTTTTCTTGTGCCTGATTTTAATCTCATGCTGTCTTGCATGGTAACCCGCTGTGCCAGTTGTGGTCTAGGAGCAATTAGTCTGTGCCATACAGCCTAGGTATATAATCGAGTATCTAGGTTTGTGCATGTGAACTCTAGGATGTTTGCACAACAACAAAATTGCTTAAAGACACATTTCTGAGAACATCTCCCTATCATTAAGTGGCATATGACTGTATTGGATTTAGCAATTTAGTAATTATTGACCTTGACATCTGTAGTTTCAGTGGAGTGGCAGGGGCCCAAACTTCATAGGTTCAAGAGATCACATGCAACTTTCTCGAGGTGCAAAATGGAGCAGAGATCTGGCTTAGAGCTTGAGGAAGCTGGGAGTTAAGAGTAGATGTTTTTAAGGTGGAAGAAATCATGGCATGCTTGTGTAGTGTTTGGAACGATCCTGTAGAGACAAAACTGATGATGTAAGAATGAGGGGGAGATATGACTAGAGAGATGTCCTTGGGTAAGAAAGAGGGCAAGGAACTTTTAGTGATGCTATGTTGCTGTGTACAGGGGAAAAACATTTTTCTTGACCCTCTGAGGGTCCCTGGCTGGGTCTGAAAATTAAACTGATAAAGCCATATAAAGAGGAATAAAGCATGAATGAATATTCGCTTGCCATAAGTTTTATGTGATAGGGAGCTTTTGTCAAGAAAGAAGTCCTGTAGAAATGGTAAAACCTAAGTATTTGCTGACTGGGTTTGATGAAGTGGAGTCATGTGGCACTGTGATAGAACAGAGTGGGAGGGCAGTGTTGTAAACTGGGGGAAACTTAGCAAGTCCTGTTTGTTCAGATTCTTCCTGGGAACCCTCCACCCTGGAGTTAAGTGTGCTCCTTTTCCCTGGGTCTAGGGCAGGCGCTTCTCACAGACAGGTATTATGACAGGCTTCAGGCAGAAGAGCAGGGAAGGTCAGAGGGCACTTTCAGTTTCTGCTGTTTTCTCAAGCTCCTTCAGCTTAAAATGTCCCATATGCCAAGATACTGTATTTTGGGGTACTGTGTTCTGAACCCAGTCAGCTGGTTATTAAGTATAGCTCTTACTAAATTTCACAAATTTACAGTTAGATAAACTATATTTTAATTTTATTTTTTAAAAGACTTTATTTATTTATTTTTAGACAGAAAGGTAGGGAGAGAGAGAGAGGGAGAGGGATAGAACCATCAATTCGTGGTTGCCTCTTGCACAGCCCCCACTGGGGACCTGGCCTGCAACCCAGGCATGTGCCCTGACTGGGAATTGGACCAGTGGCCCTTTTGTTCACAGGCCAGAGCTCAATCCACTGAGCCACACCAGCCAGGGCATGGATAAACTATATTTTAAAGGGCAAAAGGTGATAAAAAATCACCCCTTCCTAATTATGTTACTGCCTTTACCATGGTCCATGTTCTTGTAGTTCTGTCTACTGCAGGTCGGTGATGGAAACGCCACACAATGGCGCCCTCGTGCACTTGTCTTCTCAGTGCCACGGTTAGTGGCATCGAGTTGATGGTTTGAAACTGGCCACAGTGGGAGTATTTACACCATGGAAATTGCAAGCATTGGAAATCAGGGCCCGAGAGCTGTTGGTTAACCATTTGCCAGCCTATTGCGGGATTGAATGAGCAAGTGGAGAGACTGGCTTTCAGTTAAATGCTGACAGTTCATCTAGAAGAATAGGAGAGAAGGTGGGGCATTTGGACAGGTGGGTAGATGATGAGATGTGGTAGAGAGAGGTTTCATGCCTACCAAGTGAAAAAGAAAGCTGGGAAGGGAGGTGGTGGTGGTGGAAGGTGGGAGGATGGTGGGACGGTAAGTGGATTACAGAAATGTGGTGTTTTTGTCCAGCACTATTAAAAAGCCCATTGAGGTTAGTGGTTGAGAATTCAAAGGAAGCCTGATCACAGTGGGTACATATTTTCCTGCAATCTAATTCAGTGGCTTGGGCCAGCAGTGTGTGACTGGACAGCTGGATTTATCCAAGGCTAGGTCTTTTCCAGACCAGAGTGACCCATGTGAGTCAGGGGCAAGTGAGATTATAAAATTATAAATGTAAAAGCCACCACCTCACAGACCTTTCCTATTCACTCCAGCTAACAGCATGCCCTACCTACCCTCTGTGACTTTACTCCATTATTCTGTTTATTTTCCTGTTCTGTTAGTTGGCTGTTAGGTTACTAGGCTTACCCATCCTACTGTTTTATATTCCGGTGCATCCGGTGCCTTCCAGTGCTTGGTGCATAATAGGTGTTTGGTAAGTGATACGAATGAATGCATTCACTTTCTCCTTCTTGTAAAATCTGCATTGTCCGAGTGAAGAATACTCAAAATGCTTTTTGTACCCCTTTGTTTCTTGCTCCGTTGTGTTGAGTCTTTAGAAAGCATAGGAATTTTTGGAGCCAGCTACACTAAGTCCCAGTTCACTTCCTGGACACTTACTAGGCGACATAGGCAACTTTTTACTGTGACTGAGACCTAGCTGCCTGGGTCCTGTGAGTAACGCAGTTGTTGGCTTGTGTCACACCGTACATAACACGGAGGAGAGTTATGTTGACAATTCCTAAACTTGGAAGTGAGTGGATACCGTATTTGTTACTTTTTCAGGGTCGTCAATAGCAGTTTAAGGTTTACAGCATTACTCCAGCCAGGTGATGATACAAAAGCACAAGTCCCAAAGTCCAAGACTGAGCGCAAGGCGTGGCAGCTCCCGGCGCAGAAACTTCGGTCCGTAGGCCCTCAGCTGGCAGCCGGCGCCGCCCGGCGAAGACGCCTGACAGCCTGCGTGTTCTAAGCGCGCCTCCAGCTCCCGGCAGCCCACCCGGACTTTGGCGGAAGAGGGCGGGGACAAGACCGCTTGTCTGTTTCTCCGGGGGGGACAATAAAGTTTCGAGAGTTTGAAAAAGGAGGGAAAACCCCACGCCCCCTTGGCCGTTCCGGTGTGGACGCCTGCGGCCAGGGCGGAGCTCGGGTCCCCTGCGCTTGTGGAGGCGTGGCGGGTGCGTGGGGCTGCAGTGCGCGGGCATGGGGGTCACTGTGGACGTGCACCAGGTGTACAAGTACCCCTTCGAGCAGGTCGTCGCCAGCTTCCTCAGAAAGGTAGCCACTCCACTCGTCCGGCCTGGGCTCGCGTTCTCCCGCGCCGTCTGCGCCCGGCCAGCTGTCTGTGCTCAGGACGCCGGCTTCCCGTTGCTGCCCCCTCTCTCCTCCTCTTGTCTCCTCTGTCTCCACCTCTCCCACCCTTTTAGTCCCCTCTTGTCCTCTCTTCTTCCCTCTTGTCCCCTCTCCCTCTAGTAGTCCCCCCTTGTCCCTCTCCACTCTTGTCCCCCTTCCTTTCCCTCCTGTTGTCGCCTCTTGTTCCCTTTCCGTTCCTTTTCCCCTCCACCCTCGAAAGCCCGCGTTCCCCATCTGCTCCAGTTGAGCTTTCATCTCCTGGATGAGCTGGGCGAGGGCGGAGGTGCAGTTTTCTCGAAGGCTCCCCCCTCTGGCTGAAGTGAAGGCTTATGGGGAGAGTTACAGGAAACCCAGGTTCTGGGGCCCTGTTGACTTGTCGATCTTTCTGGTACATTGGTGCCCCCTTAAAAGCTAGTGGAGGCCATTGCAGCCATCCTCTTCGTTTACTCTGTATTCTTTCTATCGCCTCCCCACTTGCTCTTTTATTGAAGGGCTGTGGGACTTTGGGCAGCTCGCTTAGCTCCCTGAGCCTTAGTTTTGTAATCTGTGAAGTGGGGAAAATCATAGTATAAATTCGAAGGGTTGGCTGTGAGGACTCGCCTGAGGTAAGTCATGCAAAATGATTATGACAGTGACTGATGCTTAGTAAGGCCTCCAAATGTTATTGTTGTGTCTACTACTATAACTGAGCACCCTCGCCAGAGCCCTCCGTGGCCCTCTCTTTTCCAAAGGCTCTTCCTGGGACTTTGGCCCCTGGGGATAGGAGAATGGAAACTTTGAAAAACCAAAGGCACCCAGGCCCGGGATATGGGGCCCCTGGACTCTAGTCTGGCTTTGCCTTTAATTAGTTCATTTGATGACCTTGGTCAAAGGTCATTTTCTCTGCAGGCCTCAGTATCTGCTTCTAAGCTGAGTGTTGTACCAGAGATCTTTTAGGTTTCCCTTCAGCTTATTTCAAAAATTTGCGTTAAGTAGCAGCCACCAAGCAGTGTGCTCCATATGCTACTCAGAAGCAAAACTAAGGGGGATTGCTGGGGGAAGAAAGTGGGTTTTTTTGTGATAAGACCTGACTTTTATTAGTGGAGATGACAAAGTTAGGGGCTTGGATCACAAAGGACCGAGTAGGATGCTGGTAAATGGGATACTACCATGGAGGCCTGCTTGGAGGGAAGGCCAGCTTGTTATTGTTCATTGACCTCTAGTATCGAGAAGAGTGCCTAGCACCTGCTAGGTGCTCAATAAAAAGGTCTGGTGAATGAGGAATGAATAAATGAATAAAGCATGAATTAGGGATCTGGTGTAGTCCTTGCCTTAGGCCAGGCTTCTGGGCTCAAAGATAAGCAGCCAACACCCATTTGTTGTTAGGACTGGCCCTTAGGGGGTGGATTCTCTAATGCCACCGCTCGTTGGAAAGCCTTTGTAGATTGTGCCCATCAAGAGGTGATCTCTGCCTTGGCAGAACTGAAGGGGCATTTTGGGCCTTACCAACCACCTTCCACAGTGTTGGACAGTTACTTGTGCATATGTTTTTTACCCTCTTTAAATGCTAGCTTCTTCAGGGCAGGACTCACTCTTGCAGAAGCATGTAGCTCAATTTGAGGCTGTCATTTAAAGTGCTTGGCATGTGTCAAGATCCTGGGCACATGTCAAGATCCTGGGCACAATACTCCCTGCCGCCCCTCCCTGCCCCCTGCTCATTCCACAAGAGTTTAGAAATACTTTCTTCTGTGTGCTGGGCTCTCTTCTCTTGGAGCTGATGGTCTCTCATGGATGAGAGTGACATTAATAAACAATGAACACAATTTTAATTCATGATGTGTATTTGTGCAGGGAAAGTTTATGGTGCTGTGACTGAATATAGCAGGGAGGTCTCCTGAAGTCCTGGTATCCCCGGGGGATTGGTTTCAAGACCACCCCCACTTCCATACCAGAATCTACGGATGCTCAAGTCCCTTATAAAAAATGCTGTTGTATTTGCATATAAAATATATTTGCATATAGCCACAGAAGGGTGTGTGCATACACATCACTTCATTTGTGTGGATTCAGCATATTGTTCAGTGTGTGGCAAATTCAAGTTGTGCTTATTGGAACTTTCTGGGATTTTTTTTTTGACTATTTTTAATCCATAGTAGGTTGAATACAGAGAACCAATTGTATTGAGGGAGTAAAATATTTCAGAATCAACTCTGCTATCCTCTGTATCCAATTTCAGTTTCTTTTTGGCCACAGTCTTCTCTCGGGGTTCATTCACCTGGGTGGACTTTTTGTGTATGATAGAAGGGTATAGCTTTGCTCTATAATAGGGTGAGAAACATAGTGTTTTGGTTATCTGTAGCAGCGTAACAAATCACCTTGTAATTTAGTGGCTTAAACCAATGATAAATTTTAATTCTCGTGATTCTGTGGTTGACTGGGCTCAGCTGGGAGGTTTTTGTGTGCCATATGTTGTAAGCTGAGGTCACCTATAGAGCTCCATTCAGTTAGGATCTGGAAGAGTTATTATAGAATACTCAGCCACGTCCTTGGCTCATGGTACAGGAAGACTGAGGAGGACGTTTTGGAAGGTAAGGGTGTAGGGAAAGGGAAGAAGAACATTTGCAGAAAAGGCCTAGTGATGGCACAGTGTTAATGCTGTGGATGACACCACATTTCTGGTTTTTTACTCAGAAGCAGACTTCACAGATCTGCTATGAGCTATGAGAGGCTGTGAGTATCTTTCTGAAACATCAGAAAATCCAATGACAGGGAGAATTTTTCACTTACATTATTGAAGGTCATGCACCGGAAGTCAGTAGACCTGAATTCCAGCCATTGTGCTGTCCCCATGTAAAGCAGTTTTTGGGTGGCCTTGGGAAACAGTTTTCACCAGCCCCTGCAGTGCCCTTGTGCAAATTAGAAAGAGGCATCATCTAGAACTTCTCTTCCATGAGCTCACAGTAAGCAGGGCTGGAGGAGAGCAAATGGGCCTGTTTCTGCAAATTAGAACAAACACTCCTTCCTCTGGGCGGCTGCAGCCCCGGGCCCAAAGGAGCCCTTGTGCACTGAGCAAAATACACAACTGTGTAAGGCAACAACCCCGCTGTCTTAACTTCTCTCCTGTGAATGCCATGGGCCCCACCGATCTCCCAGGAGTGCTGGGAAGATCAAATGTGGAACAGTTTGACAATCATAAGCTTTTTATAAGCCCGAAGTAGTAAGAATGATCTTTTTGGCAAAATATACTTTTTTTTTTTTTTAGTCTTTATGAGCGCTCGGCAGAAGGGCCAGCCATATGAGGATCTTTGGGAAGCATTTAGCCTGATTTTGCACAGTGGTACGTTTGAAGCCTCTTCAGCACAGAGGAGGTTCTATTTTAAATGGAGTCTACTGATCTGGGGCTTTTGGTATGTTAGGACTTGCCTTCCAAGTTATAATATACTACTATTTTTAAAACCTGAGAAATATTTGCACTTCTTACACCTGCCTGATGGGTACCACAGGCAAAATATTAGCTGCACATTTTCAAAGCAAAGTGGCACCTCCGCAACAAACTCCACAGCATTCTTTGTTCATGAAATGTGTGTCGTGGTTCCCAGTGAACTCTTCATAGTAGATGCTGCACAGCCCAAAATGGTTCGTTCCTCAAATGCTCAACCGTGCTTTCCATGAACTGTATTTAGTGTCACTGCACTCGACAGTGTATACTGTTTTCTTTCTTTTTATGACAAAGTGAGCACAAAGTTGCAGAGATGAACTGAGCCGTCTAGAAGCTCACTCGGCTCTGGAAGCCCACGTGGGTCTGTTTAATGGGCTTGCCTTTCCTGACCTGGATTCAAAGACTTCATACCTGAAATTTCAAGTCATTAAAAAGGACTCAGAGCCATTGTGTTGACTGGATATTCTTGTTTATTCTCAAATGAGGCCAGAGAAGTTATAGTTTTTCTTACTGTACATTTGTGTGTTTGTTTATTTATTTAATGCTATAGGCAAAAGTGTCATTGTGAATAGAGTGTAAGCTTCATAGGCTGGGATTTTGTCATTTGTTCCTGATGTATCCCAAGTTCCCAAAGAGATCCTGGAACATAGTAGGTACTCAGCAAATCCTTATTGAATGAATGAATGAAGTACACTCTTCTGGGATTTAGCCGTATGTAATTTCAGACCAAGTCAGTGTGGCATTCAGTATCATGTCCTTTGTGGACTGTAATAAAATGGACAGATTAAAATAATTTCTTTGCTTCATCACTGTGGCCTCGGGTTTTATGTATTCTACCAAGAGTCTGATGTGCTGAACAAAATGGTTAGAGTGTTTGCCCTTAAAATCATAAAGGGGATTTACGAATGGCTATTTCCATTTAGAGTGGAAAGCTGATTGGGTAATTAATAATGTTTCCATTTCTGATCCTATCTCTCCCCACTTGCAGATCTGACACTGAACTGTCTGTCCCTGCAGAGCTGAAATATTTGGGCTGGACCCACATTTCCAAAATAAATGATTTGACACTTGATAAGCCCAGTTTAACCTAATGATTGTTTATCTTTTGACGCACACTGTAATAGTGTTTCTTCCCTTTTACCTTTCTGTCCTCACTTCTTCTAGAAGAAGATTAGGTACGTACGGCAGGGAAGACAGTGTAGTGGTGCAGAGAGGAGAGCTGTGCAGGCAGGAGAGTGTGGGCTCTGACAGCCAATGGGGGTGTGGAGTCCTTCCAGCACTGTGAGTTTAGGCATGCCGGTTCATTTTTCTATGCCTCAGTTTGCAAAATAAGAAGCAGAATAACTATTGTATGCAGTCGGGGGAAACAAATTGGATAATGCACATAGTTGCATAAATGTAGCTTAATGGCGGCACACAGTAGGTGCTTTAAAAGTTCTTGTTAAAAATTGTGTTAGTACTACTACTAATAATTTGTTACATCTATTTCATGAACCTAAAAATAAAATGCCAAGAAGTAGTCTGCAGAAATGGTTACGAACTTGGAGTAATAAAGGATGGAGTGAGCATGAATAAATTGCATATTTGAATTATGACTTATTTGTAAAATGTCATTTAAATAACATAAAAGTATAGTTGGTAACTTATGGAAGTTGTAGCTTAATCAGTGCATAAAAGACAGGAGATTTTTAACTATTCAAGTACTGGTAAACATTAATTATATGCCTACTAATAGACATTCCTCAGTGTGTGCCCCAGAAGGTGAGAGAAGCTAGATAAAATAAGGCCCCGGCCTCAAAGAGCTCTCTGTCAAGGGGGACAGAGGGAGATACAGTCCTTTTTTATGATAAGTGCTTTCTCGGGGACATAACACTGATGTATAGTGTGAGGCAAAGTTTGTATGTTACTTACAAATCTGTGACAAGTTTTAGAATACTTAAAACCTGATGCTTTTTAAAAAAAGTAAGCCTTCTATCTAGTACTCTGAGTGGAGCTTTCCCCAATGCTAGTGGGGAGGGGTGTGTCAGGGGGACCTGTTGTGTCTTATACAAAATCTGAATTGCTAAATTGTGAGTGTGAGGTTTGTCTTGTCTAGGGCAATAAGAAATATCTCCCAATAATTTTTAACTCATCATTGAAATATATTTGGATCGAAGATGGATGCCAGTAGTGTGTTTAATGCCACAC